CACACACACACACACACACACACACACACACACACACACACACACTCAGGACCTTTCTGTTCTCTGCTAACATTTGCTTATCAGGCCTCTGAGTGGCCTTCATGATAAGGAAAGGCATTTTGCAATCTAATAATACTGTTTTTTTAAAAATTCACATAGTAGTTGTTCAATAACTTTCATCAGAAATGTTTGCATTATCATAAAAGCATCTTAAATTTTGATCAGTTTAAACTATATAATCTTAAGGATGACATTCTAATTATAAAATCTGATTTTATAACAGGGGTTCAGGAAAAGCTTTGAGGGCAACACAGGTCCCAAGAAGTCAGACCACATAAATTGTTACCTACAGACAAAAATTTCCTCTGAAATCAGTGGCTCAGGAATTACCATGTCGAAGGACCGGCCACTCTTGCTCTGCTCTGTGTAACTTTTGTTCAATGATGTATCACGCAGTTCCACGTCACTCCCAATTTCTGTACTTACCTCCTCGTGGGCGAGAAGCATTTCAAGATGGAGTATCCGTTCTCAGAACAATAATAAATTAGCATTATTCCAACTGCCTGTAGCTCCACTGCTTCCAGGACACCTCATGAGGAAATTAGTAGTGCCTGAACTTTTAATTATTCTTAATTGTATCGATTGTCAGCAGATTGTAAATGTAGACTCATTGCTATTTTAAGTAACGGGTTTGCAATTCTATAAACTATAAAGTGGAGTGCATGAGCAGGCGGGGAAGGAACTCATTTTGAGAAGTCTTAGATGTCAGTTCTAATCAGAAGCAACCCTCTCCTGGCTGCTTCAGGCAGCTCACTCAATACCCTGCCAGTCCAGGAGACTTTTTGACCAGATACAGCTCTACCTTCCAGAGTCAAAAAAAAAAAAAAATCAATAGCCATTTTCTAAAGGGAAAGTAGATTGGGAAATATGTGTACATTTTGATTCAAACATCATTACAACATAAAGGCTTTTACTAACAGTGACCCACATTCTAAATGTTGTATAGTATGTGGCAAATCCTATTACCCATGTCCTTTTTTCCTAGATACAAGTTTCTAAGCATTATCTTTATTTTTACAGATATAGAAACTAAAATTTAGCAACAAAATTCTATTTCCATTCTATTTCTTCCCAAATGCCTACACAGGGAGACACATGAAGCTGGATTGCCACACTCCTGGGTAGAACAGAAAGGCTCCAGGTTTTACTTCATTGTTGGAAGCATGTCACATGTTGGTGCAATGACTTAAATACACACCAGAAAGTACTTGATTTCATTACGGGCCCCAAATCCCAAAGTAAGGAAGAGAGAAAGAGAAAACAATTTTAAACATGAAGGGTCCTCTACACCACCTTTCCAAGTTCTTGAAAATTTAATAGCAACCAATTCTAAACCCAGATTTCAGAGGGTGAATATTTCCTTTAGCTTCCCTATAATACCCTCATCTCCAAATAAATATCTTATCCAAAGGCTTCCAATTTTGACTTTTTTACTTTATTTTGGTACCAGGGATTGAATTCAGGGGCACTCAACTACTGAACCACATCCCCAGCCTGTTTTTGTATTTTATTTAGAGACAAGGTCATGATGAGTTGCTTAGTGCCTTGTTTTTTCTGAAGGTGGATTTGAACCTGTGATAATAGAATCTGTTTTTCAGTCATTAAACACATTCAATATAAAACATCACTTTTCCACAATTATAAAATGGTCACTCTCATTATGAAAGCAGTGTATTTATTTTTGCCCTTTTTAGCTGAGGTGATGTATGCAGTTTATTGGCATTGGTGTTATTCTGTTTACTGTAGATAGTCAATCCACTTGCACACTAAATGTGTGAAAAGTAAACTTCACATTCCAATTTCTTCACAGAAATCAGGATCTATGGCACTAAACCATCAAAATAAGAAAACGTTCATAGCAGGTCAATGGCTCCTTTCCCTCCTTTCCGATGGGCCGTGGAGAAGAAGTAAGACAGTGATTACAGACAGACTCAGGAAAGTCTTTGGAATAATCGACTTCAAAATACCAAATGTAATTGAGTGTAGTCTGGTATCAATTAGGCCTTGATAACACTACAGAAGGAAGGAATGTAAGAACAAAAGGAAGGAAAAAAGAAAGGAAAGAGCATGTAAGAATGAAGACCAATTCCAGAATTTCCTAAAATGCATTCAAGGCTAAATTCAATTAGGAATGAAAACAATAACATACCTACTATGTGTTCACTGTTATTGGAAACCTAGAGGTGATGGCCGCCATGCGGGGAGCAGGTAGGTCTGAAAGAAATCAACCCAGTGTGCCTTGAACTCAGGGAGGGCAGAAATCCACATTCATGAGCCAAAACACAAAATTCATATTTTGTAATGAACTGGAGTGAGCCTTATGATTTGTTCAAGCTTTGTTCCCAGCCTCATTAGAGTGACGTAATCCATGGCAAGAGGAACCTCAGCCATCTCAGTTGCTGTCAAGATGTCCCTGATCAGCGTCTCCATCTCACCCCCAACTCCAATATCTAAATCACCCCTCATTGCATCATTTAGCTTGTTGAAAAACTATGCAAAACAATCCTATTGTGTACAGCCTATCATTTGGAGATTGTTGTCTGTACTCCCATTAATTAGAGATTAAAAAAAAATAGAGAACTTCTTGTGTTTGGTAGAATTTATCATTATTGGAACTGTTTCCTCGCTCTAATCTTAATTTTTTTTCCCCCAGAAACATTCATCCTTCTCTTCCACTAAATAGAAACCAACAGGCCAGGAAACAAGAAGAAAACGAAAAGAATACTGATTTCTGGCTAAAAGAAAACATGAGAAACATCCAGAGAATAAAACTGAAAACATTCCAAAGTGTCCTTGTTTTATTTAATTCATAACAGGACATCACATCTGTGAAAATAATGGACTTTGCTTTCTTCATCTCACTCCCATCTCTTCGGCATCTGTTCAGCTGCAGGAATAGACACTACTAGATGGAATTAATAATCAAAGTTTCCTTGGCCAACCTAAGTCCTTTGGCTGGGATGTTCTCATCTCTCCACACTGTTTTGAAATCATTCATTTTCTCCTATTGTAGGGAAATCATAGGGACAGAACTTTAATTAAAACATACACTGATAATATTTAGATTCACATAGGGTGGGGTTTTTTTTTCTGATTAAAAGTGCATTAATTCAAAGACTACTTACTGAGTTTCCAAGAACTTGTGCTCTGCCAGTTGGGAATATGAAGATGAATAATAAATAGATCCTGCCTCATGTGTCCTTATTGGTTGCTGGAATGTCATGTACTTCTATACTGCTTGGCAGATAGCCACTGCCCAGGTTCTCTGGGCACTGTCCAGGGAACTGGGATGCCCTGAATTTTCCAGAATCCAGCAACTCCAGGCTTACTGTGCAACACAACTGAGGAGCCCCAAGCCTCTGCATTTCACCAGCATCTGTATCACACATTTCTAACTCCACACCATTTATGATGTAGATTCATTTTGTTCTGGGAAACCAGAGTGTGAGGCAATCAGTTCTAACTCTGAAGACTCAGGTAGCCCGTAGAAAGCAGATGAAATGTGACTTGAGTTGGTTCATGGCAAAAAAAAAAATCTTTTTTTTTTCTCTTCTATACCTTTTTCTTCGATGTTTTTAACTGCCTCTATGTTGGGAAATACAGACGCTACCTTGCTTATTTGGTTGTCTTCTAGAACGGTGCATTAAGTACGACAAAGGGCTTTCTTTCTAGTAGAAGGCTAAGGTCCTCTCCTGAACCCTTTTTGTGTGGTGACCCTGAAGTCTTCAGCCAGCAGCTTCACTGTCCCCTTCCCTAGTCCTTGAGTTTGCTCGGATTGAGATTACAGAGGAGAGACCTCCATGTTCAGTAAGCAGATACCAAAATCATTCGGAAAATGTTTTCAAATAAAGTGACTACTGAAGTCAGTTTGGAAAGCTACAACTGAACTCAAACTGTAGTTGACATCTCACTTTTTTATGCTACTGCGCTTACTACCTTTAGGAATGTTAATGAAAAGACAAGATTTTACCCAACAGTTTTGTTAAACCTAATCTCCACCAAAGAGATCTTGTTGTTACCCATCGCGAGTGCCTTAGAATATGAAAATAACAAAGGAATGATTTCAGAATAAAAATATAAGGAGGCCAGTCAGTTAAGTGTAGCATTTAAAAGCTCTGTAGGGCAGGCAAGTCCGGTTGAAAAAAAAAAATAAGTTGTATTTTTACACAATATTAAAATGAGAAATCTTCGATGATGGTTACTTAAAATGTCTGCAATTATATAGGATTCGGAAGGGCTACCCCCCACAGCTCTCCATTCAAATGAATGGGAAGTGCCTGGGTAAATTACCGCCTGCAGTGCCAGATAGCGGACATTGCCTGCAGCTGTCACCGCAGACCTGTAATTATGCAAGTACCCTTCCACTATTATACAATTAGAGGGACCTATCTTTCTTTCTCCCACTAGGTAATGTTTTTGTTGGTGTCAAGTGTAGGAACTCTATTTGTTCAATCACTTGTGTTTGAGTTGACTATATCCAGTACATTACAAGGGACTCATTTTTTTTTCAACCTCATTTTGGGGTCCCTATGAGAAAGTTCTATCACAAGAAAGCTTCTCTTATTCCAATTAACCCTAGTTCAATAAAAAAAAATTAAAAAAGATCAACTTCTGTCTTCTTCCAAGTGGTCAACTGCACAGGGCCCTACCAAGATGGGAGAGAGAAGATCAAACATTTCGCAAAAAAAAATTTTGAATATTTTAAGTCAATCGGAGGACAGAAGTAAATAATAAAGCACAGCCATCAAATGTCTTTTCCTATGTTACCTTTATAATTTCAAAAATAGACTTTAAAAATCTAGAGGCTAATAATTGTTTAAATTTTGAAATACTTCAAGATTACAGAGGCACGGAAAACTCCTTGAATTTCATTTGAAATGAATTATGAGTTAACAAAAATAAGAACATAAGACCTAATAAAAGATTATATGTCAGAAGGCACCTGGCTAAACAGAAAATACTTTCACTTCACTCAAAACCAGTCTGCAATAGGCACAAATAGTGACCGAGCCATGAACTTGAGTCATTTTCATAAGAGAAGCAGAGTTGGGTGATTGGTTATTAAAAGCAATCTTCAGTAACATTGCATATATGTTAGTTGCTAACAATATGTTTCTATATATGTATACATAAGAATATATTCAATATATGTTCTTCCTGATTTCACTAATTTTACATTAGCATTTACTTACCAAGACTAAATTAAGAATGGATGAAAGGTCACATAGAAAACTAAAAAAGAGTCATTCTGAAATGCTGACAATCAAGTAACTGAGCATTTGAGCTCAGCATATAATTAGAAAAAAAGTAAATTTCAAACAAGTTCAATATCACATGCTAATTAAACTAATCAACAGTCAATTAATAATCAAGTAATATCAATAAGTCCATGATTCATGCTTCCTAGATTTCTGAAGTACGAAAGAAGCACAGAGTTGTGACAAAGCACACAAAAGCTTAAAGATGAGTTGTCTCACTTTAAGAGGCTTATCTCTTAACATATTTACACTTTTAAAAAATTACTACATTATCTTCAACCTAGGAAAAATAATTCAAAAACACTGAAAATTTGAAGCTATTTTAATTTCATAATTTGGAAAATATAAACTCTTACAAATATAAAGATTAAAATCATGCTCTTTGGGTTGCTAGAAGATACTTTTGTTTTATATTTTGAGGAAAAATGTCAAAGATTAAGTACTGAGGACTTTTTTTTTTATTGTTGGTCGTTCAAAACATTACACAGTTCTTTTTTTTTTTTTT